TCCCAGGCCCGCAGCCCCCCGGTTCCACAGCCGGAGCGAAGCCGGGGCTTAAATTATCCTCTGCGAAAATCCCAGACGCTGGCTAAATTTCTCCCACCCTAACTGCGTTCCCGGAGTATGCAGCTGCTTCTCCTGCAGCTGGCATAGTAAAAATGTTGACGACCGGCAAGCATCAGGAAACCTTGATTTCCCATTCGGTCACTGCAGCGGGGGTTTATGCTTCTTCCCTGTAACAAGGTGCACGCTCCGAACTGCCGGCCGCAATATTATTGCTGTTGCTTTATTGACCGACTTTGTTTTTTTATTGATTTGGATTTGGGTTTTGGAAAAGCGCGTCCAGGCAACGATCCTCTCAGTGGCAAGAGGATGACGGAGTTAGACACTAGGAAAGGAGAGAAACCTAGAGGGAGTCTTTCCTGAAGCTGTCACTGCTGGTAGCATGGGTCTGGTGGTAGCAGGTATCTGCTAGAATGGAAGAGGCTGCCAAAAGGGAACCGCTCCAGGGCTTGGAGTCTGCCCCGGTCGGTGACACGCCACCCTGAATTCGGCCGGGACGGAAGGGTGGGTGGGGTGGTGGTAGCGGGTCGGCGGGAAACACGGCGCTGCCACTCATTTTCAGAACCTCAAATCCACCCTGATGCTGATTATGCACTCAGTAATCTCCGGGAACTTCTCCACTCTTGAAAGGGGAAAGGAGGGTAGGGTGAAGTTTTTGCTCAGACCTTTCCGCTGCTTCACCGGCCCAATCTCGCGTGGATGCTTAGAGACAGATGTCTGGCTCGAGTTTGAAAAGGTAGAGAGATTCCTGCTGAGGGGATCCTCCTGGAGCGTGCATTAAAATAAAGAAAGGTGAATGGGAAGCAGAAGTACATGGAAAGACGGAAGGAAGGAAGCGCAGGAAGACTCATTCTAATTCGAGAGAGGTGTGTGTGGTGGAGCTGGAGAAAAGCCACAGAAAAGCTACAATGGCTTTCTTTTGTTTTTTTGGGGGTTTTTTTTGGTCTTGTTTCGGACTGAAATCAGAAGCACCCGCCCACCTTTTTGTGATTGGCCTTCCCGGTCCCTTGGGAGTTCTCCTCACACTATTGGAGGAGGTAACCTGCCTTTCAAGAACAGGCAACCAACCAGCTACGACTTGGGCACACGAATTTAGGGAAATGTAGTTAGTTCACTATGCAGTTTCTGCACCCAGGACGATGTCTTAACACTTGTAATCTGTAAAATTTTATTTCGTGGCTTAGTATTTATTGAACTAGGCAGTTAATTCACTGGATGCAACAAATAGAACAAATCTGAGGACTTTCCTAACCTGTTTTCAAGTGGCTCTGAACTTTTCGTTTACTCATTTACTTCTCTGTAACACAGTTGGCTAATGTGAGGTGTTGCACTAGGTACTGGCGACTCACAAATGCAATTCTTGCTTTCAACAAGCTCACTGCATTCTAACGAGGACGACCTTAAAATAAATAATTGTATCACAATATAATGAGTTCAGTGATGGAATAATGCACGGGGAGGAAGGCAGAGGGCCACTTACTGGCCAGAGAAGGCCTGGAAATGGTGACACTCAAAATAGATTATGCCAGATGAGTAGTCGCTGACCTAGTGAGCGAGAGGCAGAAGAGCATTGGAAGGTAGTGGAGAGAGAAGAGTCAGAATCACCTGGAAAACGTGTTAAAAATACAAATGACTCCATAGGGGGAAGTTCCAATATAGAGCGATCATATCCCCAGAAGAATTTTATGATCTGCGTTTTCATCTAGGTTTAAGATAATTTGTCATCATTGGATTATAAAACTTTTTTGAGAAAGGACAATTTCTTGCTGAGAGGCCTTGTGGTGTAGTGGAAAAATCCTAGGCTTTGTTGTCTGCCAGACATGAATTTTAATCCAGGCCCTGGTAATATGTGTAACCTTGGGCAAATTCCTTAATTTTCCTGAGGGTCAGATTTCTCATGTGTAAAATGAGATTAATTCTATTTACTTCCCAGGGTTTTATGAGGATAAACTGGGGGTGGGAGGGGAAGAATATGAAAAGATTGCACTCATTGCTTAGCACTCTGTATATTTAAAAAATGTCAGTTTCCTGTTCTACTATCAGGGTCCTCGAGGTGAAAGAGATTTCAGGAGGTCATCAATTTTAAGTCAGTTCCTTATTTTTGAAGAATTTTTGTTTTGATTGCCATACTCCATCCCCCGCATCAGATTATGAACTCATCCTGCCATTCCCAAACTTCAATTCTTAAAGGATACTTGGAATTTTCGCTTTGGGAACTTGCAGTTCATCCTCTCCAAGTTCATGGTCACTAGGGCATATCCAGAAATTCATTTGGCCGAAAAGACCAATGGCCCAACATGGCTAGCTTTATTATAGCAAGGATAAAATAATGGCTCCTCAAACTCACTGTAATTTTTTTGTCAGTTTCAGTCAATTAATTCACTTTTAAAATTAAAACTGAAAATTTAAGAATTGAATTTAAAATTAAAATATTTAAGTTTAGAATAAAATAATTTATATTATTCGTTTGAAAATTTAGCACGAAGCAGAGAATTTTACCCATAAAAATCTCTCAACAAAGTTTTTGTTTGTTAGTTTGTTTAATTTTAATGAGTAAATATGTTGATTTCAAGCAATTCAACAGCTTTCTGCCTCTGGGCAAGTGACATTCTTCCAAATGGAATTCTTTCTTACCTGCTTATTGAAGAATGGACCGGGACAACACAATGATAGAATATCATACCCCTGACAAAGTTTATTTTAACATTTCTGATTCTGTCAATACGCATTATCCGGCTTAAAGGTTTCCAGATTAAGGAAGTCTCTGATACTAGTCTTATAGGGGCAGCTGGATGCTGATTGAGATGATTAAAGTAGAAACTGAAAATAAATATTTTAATGATAAATTATTTATGGGGAAAAACTTTCTGGAAGGTAGATGAAATCAACCTTTCCTTCTAGCGTTCCTTTTTATTGACTTAATTCAGTTAGAGTCCTAAAGGATGTGTGTATGACAATAATTGATTTACTACAACATTTAACAATATTGAATTGAAATTATATGTAAATGGCTGCATTGATGTTATTAGTTGTTTTGCCTAGTAAAAGCCCTCGCTTCTGAATTGACTTCCTATCCCTTGCTAAAATGATAGGCCTGGGCAACTGTGTCTTAATCAGTGACCTGTTTCCTGGTTCAGACTGACTGGATCCAAGACAGACACCTGAAATAAGCCAAGCCAAAAGATCATCTTCTTCTGGGAATTTGGAATTGACTCATAAAGCTGCTAATTTGTCTTAACTAGAGGAAGCCATGTAGACCTACAGCTGAGTGATGTGTTTTACTTTGTGCACACTGAAGCTGACGGGACCTATTCTTAAATGGAATATGGGAAGATGAAGCCAACACAGAGGCCACAGAGCAGTGACCACCAGTTACCCAAGGAGGTGGAGAGTAGAATCTCCATTTCTGACTTTCTAGTTCTCAGTACCTATTCCTGGTGGAATCTGGCTATACTTTCTTTTCTCTTTTGTGTAAATTAGTTTGCACGCATTTCTGGCATTTGTAATGAAATATTCTGACAGAAGTTACCTTATAACCTTCCTCTAAATATAAAAGAAGGTGGAGATATTTTAGCCATCTTTCACCTGCCATTTTTAGAGTCTACTGTCAATTCTCCCTACAAGGAAGAGGCAGCTGTAATAATCCAGCAATGGCCTGGTGGCTTGGACAGAATGGTCAAAATTAGTGGTGGTGCAAAGGGGTCCAATTATGAATATATTTTAATGGTAGAGCTAAAATGAAATGTTAATGGTATGTGGAATATTAGGGGAAAAGGCAAAGATGACGCCTTAAGTTTTGGCCTGAGCATTTTAAAGAGTGGCATTGCTATTTACTTTCCACATTTATGATTCCTGGGTAATTGCCAGTTACCATTTGTACCTTAGTGGACTCAACAAATATCATCAGCTAATTAAACAAGCCTCATCTTGGCACAATGAGCAGGATCCACAACATTGTGATCTTTGTCAAACTTTGGCATTTCTAGAAAAACAGATCAGGCAGACATCAGAGAGTCTTCACTTTTGCACAGATTACCTCTGTCACTGTTTAACATTGCTTGTAGCATATCATTAAAGTGTACGCAAAAATGTCTAGACAAAAGCCAGTAAGTTTAAATGAAAAGGAAATTCCCAAAGTGTAGAACAAAACTAGTAGAACCAAATGTATACTTAAATGTCAAATAT